CCAAGATCCCGAGAGGAGAATGGAAGAGAAGGGATTGCGGCGTGACCATCCCCCCTGGGGTGTGATTTCTCACTTTCTGTCTCTCTATCTCTCTCTGTCTGTCTGGCGAGCGCACGCACCCTATAGCGAAAACCTCTCAAACACACACACACACACACACAAAAGAATTATTTATTTGGGACCAGCAGTTAGTGTAATGGCTATGTTGCTGAACTTCCATGTAGTCAACCGTGGTTCGAGTCCTGAACCCGGTGGCTTAAACTCACACTAACTGTTAAACTATGCTAACTGCTAGTCCCAATAAAATAATTCTTAAACAAAAAAGGGGGGGGCATCAGCAGGTAGCAGGGTGGTTAAAGACACTGGATTCCCGCATAGCCAACCATGGTTCAAGTCCCGGACCTGATGGCTTGCTTTCTCACTTTCCCTCTCTTTCTCTGATCAAATTGGAAGCTAATAATAAAGTTAAATAAAATTATTATAAAAAATGAAACCAAAAAAACTTCTCCCCCTCAAAACCTAGTCCCATCTCCTCAGCAAGTTTTTTTTATTCCTAAAATGTCCCCAGTTTCTCCAAATATCCTTTCAATCCGAGCTGCCTGTTTTGGTGTTTCTCTCCCTGCAGAAGGAACAGAGAGCGCTGTGGATTCCAGCCTGACCGGTAGGCCCGTTTACTTGTGTGGATGCCACCGCCAGGAAGACAGCCTGGCACGGACTCCGGGAACTGCCGCAGGCTTCTGTACTTACCTCTCTCCCACTCCCAGGCTCTCCCTACTCCAACTTCAGGAGCTCCAGGCCTTCCCATCTTTGGGGCCCAACCACAAAAAAAAGGTACCTGGGGGTGCCGGCAGGCGGCGTGGTGGTCAAAAGCACTGGACTCCCACATGGCCGTCGTGGTTCAAGTCCTGGACCTGGTGGCTTACTTCCTCACTTTCCTCTCTCTCTGTCTCTTGTCTCTCTCTGATCAAACTGGAAAATAATCACAATAAATAAAGTTAAATAAAACAATTCTTGGGACCAGCAGTTAGCGTAATGGCTATGTCACTGGACTCCCACGTAGTTGACTGTGGTTCGAGTCCCGGCCCTGGTGGCTTAAACTCACGCCGGGCACATGTGCGTGCGGGCCCAAGATCCTGAGAGGAGAATGGAGGAGAAGGGATTGCGGCGTGACCATCCCCCCTAGGGGGTGATTTCTCGCTTTCTGTCTCTCTGTCTCTCTCTGTCTTTCTGGTGAGCACATGTACCCTATAGCAAAAACCTCTAAAAAAAAATTATTATTTAAAAAAAACGTAATTGGAAGGTATTACATTTGGTGGGAAAAAAAAATAACAGAAAAATTACCCTAATTCAAGACCAGCAGTTGGCTTAATGGCTATGTTGCTGGACTACCATGTAGGCGACCATGGTTTGAGTCCCGGACCCAGTGGCTTAAATTCATGGTGGGCACGTGTGCATGTGTGCCCAAGATCCCAAGAGGAGAATGGAGGAGAAGGGATGGTGGCATGACCATCCCCCGGTCATCCCCCCGGGCGGTGATTTCTTGCTTTCTGTCTCTCTGTTTCTTTCTGTCTTTCTGGTGAGTGCATGCACCTTATAGCAAAAAAAAAAAAAAAAAATTACCCTAGTGCTCTGACAACAATATGCGTTGGTGGGTTCACGGCAAACTGGTAGCATGCTGCAAAGGAAGCCCGAGTCCTACAGACAGTCGTGGGGTCGGGCCCCTGGGTGCCGTGAACTTGCTGGGCATGTGCACTGGTAATTCTGCTCCGCTGGGAGTGCTGGGGAGGTGGCCGTGACCCTGTGTAGGGTGTCTCGCTCTCTTTCTGTCTCATGAAAGAAAGAAAGAAATTTTAAACCAAACAAAATAAATAAGCCCCAAAACCTACATCCCTTCTCAGCTCCTTGAAAGTGTACATTTTTGGGACTAGCAGTTGGCGTAATGGCTATGTCGCTGGACGTAGTCGACCGCAGTTCGAGTCCTGGACCTGGCAGCCTAAAACTCACGTGAGGCGCGTGTGCGTGCATACCCAAATCCCACGAGGAGCATGGAGAAGGGATTGTGGCGTGGCCATCACCTCTGGGGGGTGATTTCTTGCTTTCTGTCTCTCTGTCTCTCTCTGTCTCTCTGGCGAGCGCACACATCTTATAGCAAAAATCTCTCCAAAAAAAAGTCTCTCATTAAGTATCTGTGTTTTCACTCCATAGAGAGGCCTAACTTAGATGGCGGCCCATCCCCAACATGGCTTCCTGAAAAGAGGCACAACTGCTTACGTGGGCTAAGGGATTGATTTGTCTTTGTACATTTGTTCTAATTCACGTTCTTCCTTCCCTCTCCAGACCTCGTTACTCACCTACTAACCTGGTTCTCTCCATAGACTTTCAGTCAGGTTGTCATTTTTTTTTTTTAATAGGTTATTTTTGTTGTTGTTTTGTTCTTTGTTTTTCTACAGGGACAGGGACTTGCCAGATGGAGACACAAGAGAGGGAAGGGGGAGTAGGGGGAGAGGGAAGGGGGAGTAGGGGGTGTGGTGCGGATGGCCACACTGCAGTCTCCTTTTGGGATCTTGGGTACATGCACAGGGTGTGAGTTTCAAGTAGGCGGGTCTGGGACTCGAACCGGCGGTAACCACGTGGGAGCCCAGTGACGTAACCACTACACCATCTGCTGGTCCCACAGGCCTCCCCTCCCACTAATGCTCCTTAGTGGGAGAGCACGTTACAGGTGCACATACGGGGCTTTGGCAGCACAGCCCTTCCCTGTGGTGGGGTTCCGTCCTCGCCCAGCGGCCCCGCCCCCTGTGGGCTCGTGCATGCGCCAACAGGTCGGCTTCGGCTTCCAGCCTGGGCAGCACAGGAAGTTCCAGTGTACAGAGGGGCGGGTCACCACTTCCCGCCCAAAGTGACGACCAATCAGAAAGAAGGATTCTAGGGTTCCTGAGATGATGCCCAATCACAATCAGGGCTGGGATTGTGCCCGCCCCGAAGCAGTGGGAGCCAATGGCAATCGAGGGTGGTGAGCCAATGAGGACACGGCCGCAGCCTGGTGGGCTGGCAGTTAGGCGCGTGGCGTTGGCTTGCGAGGACTTGAGGACGCGGGTTCCTTCTCATCCGTGACCATCATGGTAAGCTGGGCGCTGGCGGGGCCCAGGTGGCCTTAGGTGGCTTCCGAGGGGTGGCCGGGGCAGTGGAGAAGCCTTAGGGGATAGACTAAGGGCAGCCTTGTGGTGTGTGCTCGACTGGCTGGGGGCCGGAGCGTGCTGGCCAGGGGCGGATGCCCCGCACACGTGGCAGGTGCCCTTCCCTGGGCCAGGCCTGCCCGGCAGCGACCGGAGTCCCTCCTGTCCCTTCTTTGAGAATTAACGCCAAGTGCATTGCACTAAACTCTGCACGTCGTCTGTACAATGCTGCCTGTGAGCTCCTTGCAGGATGACTTCCAGGAACAGTATTTACGGGGTCTTGACAAAAGAATGATAGGAGATGTTATGTGCGGAGCAGCTTTTATTTCTTTAGTAGGTACTTTTTTGGTTTGTGTGCACTTCCATTTCTTTTAACATAGAAATAAACGCGAATAAGTATGTTTATCCTTCTCCTCTTGCACCAGAGGTAGCTCAGAATATAGGGCCAGTAGAAGGAGGAGTTCAGAAAATTCATAGAAAACTGGAAATAAAGTACAAGTTGACTTTGGTGCAAGAATTTTTGTGTGTGTGTGTGCAAGAATTTTTTGAAATCCACGCATAATTCTCTTTGCATTTCTACTGTTTGACGACCTTCCCACGCTCTTCTACCTTGTTTTACTATTTTTTAAACATTTATCTATTTGTTGTCGGTTTTTGTTTTTGTTTTTGTTTTTTAATAGAGATTTTTGCTATAGGGTATGTGCACTCACCGGAGAGATGGAGAGACAAAGTGAGAAACACCCCCTCAGAGGGGTTGGCCTTGCCATAGTCCCTTTTCCTTCGTTCTCCTCTTGGGATCTTGGGCATGCACGCACGTGCACCTGGCATGAGTTTTAAACTGCTGGGTCTGGGACTTGAACCGCAGTTGACTATGACATGACCATTATGCCATCTGTTGGTCCCATGTGTGTTGTGATTTTCAAACCACGGTTGGCCTTGTGGGAATCCAGTGCCTTAAACCCCCATGCCCCCTGCTGGTCCTGCCCCTTTTTTTTTTTTTTGGTATAAGAAGAATCCTGCAACTCCCTGCCTCTTGGCATATAAAGCTGCACATTGTTTATCAAGGTGTGGTGTGCTAGTGTGTCGCTTTCATAGAAGCTGGGTTTTTTTTTCTTTTTTTTTTTTTGGAATGTGGTTTGCTAAACTGCAAGAGACAGAGAGACAGAAAGCGAGAAATCACCCCCCAGGGGGGATGGCCATGCCGCAATCTCTTCTCCATTCTCGGGATCTTGGGCACGCACGCATGCACATGTGTCCGGCGTGAGTTTAAGCCACCGGGTCCGGCATTCGAACCGCGGTCGACTACGTGGGAGTCCAGCGACGTAGCCATTACGCTAACTGCTGGTCCCCCCCACCTCCCTGTTTCTTTTTGAATTGCCGAAGGCTGTGCGTGCTTACCAAAGAGAAGTGGAGACACAGAGAGAGAAAGAGAAAGGCACCTCAGCACACAGTGGGGTGTGAGTACACTGCAGTCCCGTAGCCATTTCTCTTGTTAGGATTTTGGGGGCACACACACAGGTACTCAGTGTGTTTTTCAAGGCTCCGAGGCTAGGATTTGAACTGCAGTCAGCGCTTAGGTTGGATCTAGTTCCCAATGCATAGCACTTAACTACTGAGCTTCTAGAGCCAGCCCAAAAACTTTGCAAAAAAAAAGAACGTTTAAAAGAGCTGTCCAGCCAGTTTTTATTGATAAGATTTGGTTTTGAAATGCTTACCTATGATTTGAAAAGTTCACAGGACTTAGTAAGTCAGCTTGGAGATTTCTCTAGGGAATGGTGAGGAGTTGCTGAGAACTCACACTGGTCTTTTCTGAGAAAATGTTGGCTCTTCAGGTACTTCTCCTTTGTTAGAGGGTTAGCGTCTCGAGTGAGTTTAATGGAAATCCCAGTAGCAGGAATTGTTTAAAATCCTACTTTACGCATCCCAGAGCCTTAGCCTTAGAATTTGATCCCGAACACGGCCTCAGCTGGTCCCTAAGGATAATTTTTCTGGCTCAGT